TATAGCCTATACCGAAAAGCAAGTGCCTGGAAATTGTCTAATACAATAAAAGACATGGAATTTGAACTCATCTAGACTTGGTTCTAGCCATGACTCAATATTTCTGGCATTAAACCTTGACTGCTTTATATAACTGTTGTTAGGTTCACTTTCCTTATCTCTTAACTGGATAATTACTACTTTTAAGGTTATTGCAGAATGACTTGGACCCTGCTCTACGCATAGACACTTAACAAACCTGGTTTATATCATTATCATTTGTACAAAACCTCAGGAGAGGGCAGTCTTAGTTAATGCAAGCTGAGGAGAACTATCTTCGGAATTTGGTTAGAGGAGAATCCTCTGAATTATACACATTACAACAGAGCAACCCACAAGCTCAGTTGGGAGCCTGAGATTGGACACTATGTTCTTGAAAAATTGTTAGAGGTAGACCATATTTCTCTAACAGACAAGCTGAAAATAATCTTGTTGTATTGTTCAGTATTTTGAAGCCTAAAGATATAATAACAGTCTATTGATCTCGTCTACAGTGAATATTAGAGGAAGTTTTGGTGCGAGATGTCAATCTCTTCATCTTGCTAGAAACATTCCTATTCACACTACTGTTTCTTCAGTACAGGTTCTCTTCCATGATGCTTGCTGACCTAACAGAAGCTTATAATAGAACAGTTGCTTTTTCAGGAAATTCAAGATTCTTAGCTGTTTTCTTGAAGATAAATAATCGAATGTGCTGAGTCGTATTACTGAAAAAGTCAGCAACTTAATTGATTACAGTATCATATGATCACTTAGAAGTCCAGAGTTCAGAGAGCCAAAGATGGAGAGGGCTGGCTGGGACCTTGGAAACTCATGTTAGTATGTTCCAGAGATAGGTTGGGGTCACTTCATTTCTGACTTAACGCATATGAGAGAACTCTTTGTCTGTTGCTAAGGATTCCTCTTGTTTTTTTTTTTTTTTTCCAAATTTAGGAACCTTTATGTCTCAATAAGTTGTCACTTTCTTTTTGAAGTGATACTCTGTGTGTTGTGCAATATGGGTATATTTGGTAATCTGAACTGAAGGATAGATTAGAAATGATTATTTGAGGCTATGAATTTTACAAGTCCTAGGGATTCCATTTACTTCTAAATCACCAAATTGATACGTCTCCGAATCACAGACCCTTTTTCAGATGACTGATTCCTTAGGGTACACCTAGGTGGCTGATAATTTTTCTTTCTGGGTTTCCAAGCAAAATTCTTAACTATTTCTTCTAAAGTCTTTCTCAGAATTCCTAGTTAGATTAAAGGAGACTGAAATACCAAGGTTTCCAAAAGTAAACTCTTTCAAACTATAGAGAAATATGAATATTGGTGATAAGGAAAGTTAAAATCAAGACTTTTAAATTATAGACTATGATCCAATTAATCATAATTTCTATTCAATTAGGTAACTCTCCTAGATGTAACGATGCAAAATCGTCTCACTAGTGTTACACAGAAATGTTTTTCACATTTTATCAGAGCCAGGATACAAATGGAAGTGGAAGTCTGTTAGTATTCAGGTTGTGTGCGCTTCACTATTGCAGAATTTCTGATGTTACCTCTGTTAATCAGTGTTTTTTTTTTTTTAAATACAGTGACTGATACCTGAGATAGTAAAATTCTACTTTCTGAAAATTATTTATTTATTTATTTTTGGTACCAAAAATCAAACTTACAACCTTGTGCTTGCCAGGCTATATTCCTGGCCCAATAGTCAAATTCTAAAGACAAAAGTTTCAGTTTCACTAACAGTTTTGGAGGTTCCAGTCCATAATAGTTATGCCTGTTGCTTTGGATCTGATATTGTGGTGGTATTTCCTGGTTTGTAGCAATATCATTCACTTCATTGCTAGGAAACAAAGGAGAAGAAATGGGCGGAGCCCCACTGACCCCATCAAGAACATGCTCCCATGTCCTAAACATCTTTTATAGTCTCCTCTCCTCTCCTCTCCTCTCCTCTCCTCTCTCTCTTCTTTTCTTCCTTAGCCCCCCTCTAGTACTGGGACTGGAACTCATGACCTCTTGCCTGCGACGCAGGCACTGTGCTGCTGAGCTGTATCCCTAGCCCTACAGCCTGTCTCTTAAAGGCTCCACTGCCTACCAGCAGTGCCAGAGGGTAGGGCCTTAGCCTTTAATGTATGGGCCATTGGAGGACACTTTTCCAAACAGTAGCAAACTCTAATTATGCTTGACTGCGAACTAGTTATTTAACCACTATGACCCCAGATATTTTTCTATACAGTGAGAGTCAAATTACTTCACAATGTCTTGTGAAATGGTAGGATTCATCATGTGATTGAGAAATGTCCACTGACAATTTAATTTCTACTTTTATTCAATAGAGGGCCATTTTAACAAATTCCTTGCCACTACAAGTAATTACTCCAAATGTGGATTTCTGAAACTGCATTGGTGAACCATGGATGTAAGGAGGCACCATTCAAAATCATCTGTACTAACCTCTATTAAAGACTATTCTTCATTAAAAGGATTCTTTATCTTCTCCTGGATTGCATAAAGTACCAATAAACAACACCTCTGTGCTGCAGCAGAGTTCATACAGAATGAATGATCCAGGGAAGCCACAAAATCACCTAATCACTACTTGGTTCATATCTGTCAATCTCTGTCTGGAATAGCACGACACAAAAGGTTTAACAGAGAGCATCAGGACACAGTAGAAACTGAATACAAAGAATTAGTAGATGTTGATGTCAGGAACAGGAAACATAATTTGTATGATTCTAATAATATCTCCGTGGTGTGTATAATTTTGCAGTTAGAGGAAACTAAAAATTCAGAGTCCTTCATTTAAAATCAGAGCCCTAGGACCTTTTTCTTCTCTGTTTACACTCATATAGTAGACTCAGTCTGTACAATGATTACTCTCAAACTTATGTGTACATGCAAACTTTTTTGCCCTAAACTCAGGTACTATATTGTCTTGGCTATCTAATAAACATCTTAATTCAAAATGACTCACACTAACTCCCAGCTTCCACATACTCTCCTCTTAACCTTTCCTTCCCATTCAGTGAAAATCCTATGCTTCCAAGGTTTCAGGCAAAATCTTGAAGTCTTTATGACTCTCACTTCCTACCTTCCTCCCTACACACATCTAAACTATCATGACATATTTTCTATGATACTCTCAAAATATATTCACAGTCACACACTTTAATGATTTCTGTGCTAGTCACCATCATTTCTCAGCTGTCCCAACTCCCTACATGTTCCTTCTACAGCTCTATGTGCAGCAGCATGTGCAAAACCTCCACTGTTTCCTTTACATGGCAGTCAGGAGGATGCCAGAACTGGCTCAAGGGCGCATGTCTCCGGCTTGGAAGCCATCTGTGGAGTCTCGTCTCACTCCGAGTAAAATCCCAATCTTCCAGTGACCTGGGTGCCACTTCTCTTTAGCTTTAGCTCAAACAGCTCTTCCTCTGGCTCATTCACTGTTAATTCCTTGGCGACATCAGGAAGACTTTTACCTCCATGCTGATCCCATCCTGCAGGTTTCCAAGGGGCCTGTCGCTCACTCAACTAGGCCTCTGCTGAGATAGCTCATTATCAGTGAGTCTTTCCTGACTATGTGAAAGAATAACTCACATTCTCCCTGATTCCAGCCCTACCACACACTCATGGCATCCATTTGATATGTTTTACATTTGTATGTTTTTATTGCTGTTAAATGAAATCTACATGATGCCATTGGTTCAGAAGCACTAGGCTTAGACCAAACCAAAATGGAGTTACACATGCTGAAGTTCCATGCCACAAAGCTAAGAGAGACAGAGACAGTAAAAAGTCCCCAAACGTGTAGCTGGTATAATAAGGAAGTCACAGCTGCTTTAACATTCAAAGAAAAAAATCCCCAACCACGTAGTTGATATAATAAGGAAGTCACATTTCTTTAGCATTCAAAGGAAGGTAACTTTGAAATGCTGTATTCTCTTTTTCTTTTGTGTTCTTTTGCTTTCTTTACATGTTTTTTGTTTTCATTCTATAAAGCCAGCCTACTTTGCTCAGCTTATTGCAATATACACTATTTTATAGAATGAAGTGTTTCCTGATTCTATCATGATTAAAAGCTAATTAAGATCTTTAAAGTAAACTTTTTGTAATTTTGTCCTTCAACAGTACTGTTGGTAATTCATGAAGAGTCTGGAAATACATGGTGATGACTCTCAGGACCCCTGAAGGAAGGCACGCTGTCAGTACTGCTGACCCATTTGAGGTCTTCTTTTCTCCTGGTTGAGAACTGTGGATTGTAAGTAAATGTCTCTTGCATTGACTGTATTATTATTATTTTTTAATTGAGCTCCACTCCCCTTGCCCATCTTTTGACTTTTAAATAAGGCTTAATTTTTGTTGTAAGAATCAATAACCTTGGGGTGTAAAAGTGCCATGGTATGGGAGTAGAGACAGAAATAAGACTAGGTTCTGAAGAGAGGCCTCAGATACCTGGCTGGGTCAGGTAGTAAGTAGCAATTACCGAAGGGAGTGTGTACTTCAACCTGTGGAAATCTGCAGGGATTTTTTGGTTCTATTTCCTTTGTCCTATTTGCCTATGTAAGGAACAACATTGACTGAGCTGGTTAAAGGGATCTATCTCAGAGACAAAATGACAATTCGACTGGTGGCCACTATTAGAATGCTCACTAACAATAAATAAGACTTCTGGGAGAGGATGAGATGGTCTTGGAAATGGGTTAGTTGGCATTAGTTCAACCACCAACTTCTAGAAAATGTGGATGCAACAAGGTGCACTTGTTAAATGCATTGTGTGACCCAACTCTCTGGTGCTTTCCTTTTAGTCCTTTATTGTAACAGTGATAATGGCACCCCATTGTGTTTTATGCCACTCTATTTTAGATTAGCTCTATTTTGCAAGTTGCCCTTTTCAAAATTATGCTTTGCTTTTTCACTTTGCCCCCATGTTGTAAATTCTAAAGGAAATGACCTCTATGTGACTGAGACACTAATGGCTGGAGTCAGCTACAGTATTGCAGAAAAAGCATCTACACATCCATCCCACAAACCCCTATATCAGTTATTAGGCCCCAAGAGGTTGAACATACTTATAAAATATAGTGATATCTTACTAAAGACGATTTAGAATTATAATGGGTTATGTGAAATGTTGCACATAAGCAACACTGTACTTTAAGAAGTATACTTGCAAATCAGTCAAATTAGGACCACTAATTGATGTTCTGAAGCTCCTAAAATGATTTAAAAGTTCTTTTATTGCTTTGTTAAAAAAAACTATTTACAAGCTTGCTTTGATAATTTTTGTAAAAAATGAGGTGAACTATGGAAAGAAAAACAGTGTTTCTTAAGAAAAACTTTAGTACCTCTGTTATTAGATTGTAGCCCTAGTGATTGTTTTCAAGTTGTTACTATCACCCTGTAGAGAGGCCTGGGGCCTGAAGTTTTCTAGTTTTTCCAGTGTTTAGCCTAACCTTATCTTCTCAGCTCATTAGAATATGCATTCCATTCTAAAGAACAATGTTGCCTGAGTTTAGAATTATAAAAAGCAAATTGTGATCTTAAAATTTGTAATTTCTCTTTCTACATTATCTAAATCATCTGTAAAGAATGTGTGCTGCTGGGTGTAGTGGTACATGCTTTGTAATCCCAGCACATGTACCAACTCCCCACAATGAATGTAATCATTACATATTTCAGTAATATGCTAAAAAATTCAAAATTCAAATAAAATGAGTCCAAGGGCTTACTTACAGATGATGAACTGAGGCTCAGGGAGGCCCTGGACCTTGCCTCTGATCTTGTAGTGGGATAAGGTGGGATGAGGTAGGACCCCATGTAGGACTCCATCTCTCTCTGCCCCTCCCACACGGTCCTTGTTTCACCATGCTGTTTCTAAACTTCCTGTAGCATCCTTACAAATGTATTTCCACAATAATCATTTACTATTTTCTCCATACCTTTATTTGTTCTATTATTTTTCCATCTTCTGGCACATCAGGATCTATAGCAATAATGACGTCTTCATAGACATTGTCCTTTAGCTGCACTAGGGAAGCGTTTGAGCCCTGCAGCAGGTGTAGGACTAAGAGGGAAGCCAGGGCCCTGAACAGCCCCATTGTTCCTCTCTAGTTCTACTTGGTTTGAATGGTGGTTTGTCAGGTTTTTCTTTCACCTTTTCTTGGATTTTTCTCACACCCATAAATATCATATCAGCATGGGCTGATTATGGATACTGACTGAATAAAGGTCAATCTCACATATGTCAGAACACATAGGCCTTCAGTTTATACAGCTGCTTTATTGTACCTCACTACAGAAGTGAAGAAGCATGTTAAAATCAGAACTTTTTATAAAATGTGCTACATTAGTTGTGGAACATAATTTGTTACTTTTTTTCCTTTGAGCTGCAACAGGTTGTTAGATAATCCTTATAAAATATGATATTTATACTACTACACTAAAATAAAAATTTTGACTATAATGCTTTTAGAAATCTATTGTTTTATAGTAAATAATTATATTTAAAAATAAAAGTCTTACACAAAAACCATGAATATATTAATAAAAGTGTACAACTGAAGCAAAGAGTGATGGTACAAAGTGGTGGTCTGAGCATTCTGGGAGACTGAGGCAAGAGGAGCACAAATTTGAGCCCAGCTTAGGTAACCTTGCAACTTTATGAGACCCTATCTCAAAAGTAAAAACAGGCTGGGACAATGTTTGGGATGTAGCTTTTGTGATACAGTATTGACTAAAAAAGCTCTAAAAATAGATGTACCTATTGTAGATGAACCTCACATAAATCTGGGTAGAAGACAGCAGTTGCATGGGAGTATGCCACATGATTCTGGCTTAGAAAATACATAAACAGACAAACATAATATGTACCATTGGAATCATGACAGTGGTTACCTTGAGGGAGAGAATGACTATAAGGAAAAAAAGATATGTGAATTTGAGATACTGGTGATGTTTTCTTCTTTTTACCTATGCCAGGTATACAAATGTGTAGTTCATAAAAATTTATCTCACAATTGACAGAAAAGAAAGCTTACATGCAATAAACTCTAGAGCAAAGAGTAAAAAAGGGTAATATAAATAAGATTTTATTTGACATAAATGCCACTATACAGGTTAACATCCATAAAATAACAGTTCATTCTTCTCATCTCATCACTCATTCAATATCTTTGCATTCAGAATTTATTGTGTGCCAGGCTGAATTTTTGTTTATAAAGAGACTGATAACTTTTCTCATCAGTGCCAAGATATACGAAATAGGACCACAGTAATAAGTAGGAAGAAGAATCTTCATATATAATTTGAATAGAGTCTAAATAGAGGTTGAAGGTGCCAAAGTACAAAAATCGCCAAAAAAATATAAATAAAGGTCTAATTGGCTTTTATTTGTGATTCTAGAATGAGGCAACATCTTGTTCTATAAAATAAACTGAGTGTTCCTCCAAAAACCACAAAGTGATTGGTTTTGTGAGGTTGGGTCAAGGAAACAAAAATAATTTGAAAAATCAGGTTGATTAACAGGGAGTCACTGCAAATCCTTTTTCTTGTGAGGATTAAAGCAGAAGAGACTTCTCTATAGATGGTGCTCTTTCTGAGTGGTTGCTGTGAATCTAGAAAAGCTGCTCTTTTGGGAGGTTTACCTTATTCACGTAGTACGTGTGACTCGATGATGGTTTGATCTGGTCTTCTGGGGCTAGTTAAAGAAAGTTCAGCTGGTATCCCTAAACAAAGCTCCAGAGCTTTGTTTAACACAAGCTAGTTGGAAAATTAACCATGAGGAGACATTAGAGCAAAGTTTGTTGTTGCAGCACATTGAGGATATAGTTCAAAGTCCTTTCCTTCAATTTAGATGGTGTGACTTGGCATTTCTGTCTAGAATTGTATTAGCTCCTTTCTGTAATTTGTTCCTTTTGTGTTCCTTTGTCAACTCCCAGACTAATTACCACTTGAGAGAAGACAGGTTTCATTGCTCTCATTTAAAGCATACTTCTTTATTGAGCAAGGTATTGGGACTATAATGCTAAGTAATGGATTACCTCCTGCTCTTAAGAATCTTACTATGTGGAGGGAAATAAAGAAAAGTAAATGACAATTATGATAGAGAGAGTTAAAGAGAACCTCAGGGGTAAGAATTAGATGAGATTAGAGGTGATCAGGGAAAATGGAGTCTTGGATGGGATGGGAGGAATTGTGGGACTCAAGAGTGGAGAGGTGAGCAGAACAAGGATTTGAAAGGAATTATTTGTGGTATCAAACGACTGGGGGGTGCATTCATTGCAAAAAAGAGTCATCACCAGGATTTAGAAAATGGAGAGACAGGCTCAGCTTCATGCATTAAAAAAGACATTGGTTTGAAAGTGAATAGAGTTTGGAAACAGGGTTGGATTGCGCACATGAGAACTTTTGTGTGAATCAGAAAAATAAGTTGTAAATCAGAACATTGCACCCCCTCTGGGTGCCCAAGTGACCAAATAGGGTCCCTTTACCCTGATATTGACAGTTGAACAGCATTATATTTCAGGCAACATTCTTCTTCTTCTTCTTCTTCTTCTTCTTCTTCTTCTTCTTCTTCTTCTTCTTCTTCTTCTTCTTCTTCTTCTTCTTCTTCTTCTTCTT